AGGTCTGGCTTAGCTACATCCAATTTATGGCGCATTTCCACTACAGCGCGGAGCTCGCTTTAAGCGTGCCGTGCCCGGCACGTTTTTGGTTGCATTTCCACTTGGCGTAGTTCCGGCTAGTGGGTACTATTTTAGTTTTTCTGGCCCCATAAAATCGAGGTTCTTTCCGGGCCAACAACCAGGCTGAGTCGGGCTGATGTAGAGAGAGAATCGCTGGCAAGGGGGCTACAACTACAACAAAATGAACATATTTGACCGTGATTTAATTGTTATACACGTTTCAAAATGATGCCGAAGTAACAACATACTGATACCGGTTAGTAAAAACCATGAATTAATGCTTTGACAAGTCTGCAGACAGACGGCAGGCGAAAAACCTTTTAAAATGCGTGTTTTCTAAATGGAGATTCTTTTTACCCCAAGAGATGTTATTGTTAACCATGCTTTGGTATATTAAACTTAGCCTGTTCTCTGTTTTATTTTTTAGCAATAGGAAGGATGACACAAAGGAGCAGGAGAAAGACTCCTGAACAGGATGCAATAGACCATATAATTCTGGGCAGAGACAAACCCTTCCTAGAGGCCAGGTTCATCAATACGTTTAAAGGTAAGCTATTTATCTCATACAGTATGTAGTATCAAAGACCGTATAGCATTGTTTCATCAATATGGTGGAACTGGGCACACAGGGAACCCTGACCTTTTAGCCATTGCTCTTAGGCCATCAGCCTCACGTATTTTCAACAATGTACGTTTTCAGGAAATGTCTTTAAAATGTGTGCTCCTCTCATTGAAAAACAACACTGTATATCAAATCAATTGTGTCCTAAACTGCCAGACACCCGCTGTGTTTAGAGATGCTTTGACTACACTTTTGGGGAGGTTTCACAGAGCCTCTCCTCAGTGCAAGGGTTTTTTGGCAGGGTTAGCAAACTACCCGGCCCTTATTATTATATCATGAAGCCTTTTTAACCATGCATATGATCATTTATTGAAATCAAATGTGTACAACAGAACTTATGATAGCACAACATTGTCTATCCTCTCAATGTAGCCTCTTAATTATGACAGTGCACAATAATGGTACTTTTAACTTTAAAATATAACATTTGTGTTGACATTTTACATTTTATTTTGTATATGTTTATACATATGGCAACAAAGTACTATTGCTTTACAAGTATTTTCTAATATGTTGCAACATCTAATCTGAACATTAGATGGAACATGCTGATTAAAACAGTGCTCTGATTATTTTCAATGAAATTCAATTTAAAATAATGTGTCACTTCATACCAGTAAATAATCGTGAACTCACCCCTGGATATAGTCAAATCACAGCTACCCTCAACCCTAGCAGTGTTGGCATCACTATGTTAAGCGTTTCAAAGTACTGTTAACCAACACCTTTTGCATATCACTGTGGAGCTTTATTGGAGAAAGGAGTGCGTGCTGATCAAACAATTTGACTCCGTATTTACCTGCAAGGCACTTTACATGTCAGAGGCTAACTTGGATGAAGCTTATGTGTGGATAGCAGTGTTAGGCATTATTAGAAGTATTCGATGTTCTCGCGTCCAGGAGAGGAGCTTAGAATGAAGAGACTAATGGAGTCTCCGAAAAGGTTCAAATTGGTGAGTTTAATTAAATGGCACGATGATACAACAAGCAGAGGGTAGGGAAAAGACAAAGCAGGTGATGTCTCTCGTGGAGCTCCAGCGAACAAAAGGTCTCGTCTTCTCCTTCCCGATCTCCTTTATCTTCTTCTCGTTCCCTCCTGCTGTGTAGATAGGGGGTACGCCCTCCTCAGTCTTCGACATCGCGTAATACAGAGGCCTTTGACATTCTGTATTCCCTGCCTACTTCCTTAAGCCTTTTCTCCTCATCTCTTTCATGACTTTCTATTTAATACCTTATAAACAGCTGTAGGTTAGTTTAAAACATTGTTCGCGACATGTAACATACTGACCGGATATGAAGGATTTTCAGAATAAAGGCTTGGCATTGAGACTTTGAGAACTTCCGGGTTTTTTCACAATAAAACAGCTTTTAAAACTGACGATATATTTTAGACTAATTATGCTATTAACATTGATTTTAATTTCTAACAATCCCTCCTTTCACACCTTTTAAGGTGTGAACACAATACTGAAATTAATGAGTTCTTCATCTGTAAACATTGATTTTAAATTTCTAACAATCCCTCCTTTCACACCTTTTAAGGTGTGAACATAATACTGAAATTAATGAGTTCTTCATCTGAACTTTGCATAGTACATAACTCATATCAAAAACATACAATCAGAATGGAATGGTTTAAATAACCGTCATTAAAATACGAAAATACAACAAAAAATAAAAAAATACTTTGGCTGGTATTAAACCTTGATTTTAATTTACAGCATCTAACACACTCATGGCAAATATTTACAAATAATTGGGTATAGGTAAATGTTAATGCATTTTTTTTGCTATTGTAGGACGTGGTGTTTTTACACGGGAATATATTGCACCGTCAACTTTTGTGGTGGAGTACCGTGGAATATTGGGTGTAAGTGAAGATCTAGATGTCAAAAATAACATCTTCTTATTCGATTTCATCTGGTCTGGAATGCACTTTTGGTGAGTTTGCTGCTTATTGATTACCTCAAATGGATAATTGACCATTACCAGATTTATGTGTTTCCTAGTGACTTCTTGTATGAATTCAGTGCTTTTCTGTCATGATACATGATGTTGTATCTGGACTATTTGTCTTGCAGTATTAATGCTTCAAAAGAGGATGGAACACTTGGACGTCTTGCAAATGATAATCACAGGAATCCAAACTGCAGAGTGAAAAAAATCGTTGTCAAGGGAACCCCACACTTGTGCCTATTTGCTGTAAAGGAAATATTCCCAGAGGAGGAGTTAACTTACAACTATGGGGATTCTGCTTGGCCCTGGCGCTTAAAGGTGAGGTTATGTTCTCTATAGGACATTGCTTAACTGACAGGGAAAAAGTGTTGCATTGTTCTTCATGGTACTACCACTCAGCTCAGTTAAGCATATTTAATTTATTTCAGCAAAAAATGTGCAGGCCTACTGTAGGGACAGCAGTCCTTGTAAGGACAGAGGATTTTAAAACCTGTTGACATGACTAGACATTAGATCATTGCCTTCATCCAGCATGTGCACACCTCCATAACTGTTAAACCTTTGCAGCACACACGTCAGATCAAACCACTACCACGGTGACAACAATGTCTTTTGTTTGTGCTACAATTTCAGGTTCCCCGGGAAGTAGCTTCTAACCCTGAGCCCGAGAGAGATCCTCCGTTGTCCCCACAAACCAAAATGGCAAGTTGTACTTCATATCACAATCACTTTCTGTGTTGGGCTGTAGAGGGAAACAATACATGTAAACTGGGCCTGTGACAGTATTGTACTTTTCTTAATGCTGTGAAAGATTAGTCACATTCCAGAAACTGAAACATATTATGTGTCTCTATATTATTTAAGCCATAGTTTGTTGACTGTTATTTACTGCACCATGAAAAGATAAATGCTCAGTAACAGTTAGTAGTCGTATTTGGAACAGAGGAGCAGCGCTACCATGGCATTCATGAAACAAAATGAGGATGCCAACTTGTAATATGGTTAAAATTACAGTCCTACTGTGCTAATCAGCTTTCTTCCTGGGATGAGATATGCTGATGGCTGCTGCACACATAGCATGCTAACAGTCAATGTGTTAGTAGATTTTTTATCAATTATTGCTCTGTGATAAATTGCTTTTAGGCCCTAACATGTTATTTAGGGGCTAATAATGTCTTTTTATTTTCATTGCTGGCTAATGAATTGGATAAAGTCGTGTTAATGTTCAGATGTGTGTCCCATTGATAGATGAATGGAAATGAGTCGATAATGTTTTAAAGTCGTGCCTATCTTTCACTTATTTACAGGAAGTATGTGGTGGGACACGAGAGGCTGGGACCGAACTTCATACAACTACAAACGCATCAGGGGACACGATGGTAAGTTTCTATGTATTGTTTTTCCATACATTGTTGCGTGTCGCTGACTGGAATAGATTGAAGCTGTTTTACCAGGACTATTGTCTTGGTAAGGGGGCTCCGTTTCCCCATACTTTGGGTCACATTGAAACGGGTTAAATGTTATACTACACACAAAGATGAAGGCCGTCTGGTCACAGGGTGTCTTGTAGGGACAGCAGTCCTTGTAAGGACAGAGGATTTTAACAGGAGTTAAAAATGACAGCATTGAAAGGTTTCTGTATAATGTTATACTACACACAAAGATGAAGGCCGTCTGGTCACAGGGTGTCTTGTAGGGACAGCAGTCCTTGTAAGGACAGATGATTTACAACCTGTTGACATGACTAGACATTAGATCATTGCCTTCATCCAGCATGTGCACACCTCCATAACTGTTAAACCTTTGCAGCACACAAGTCAGATCAAACCACTACCACGGTGACAACAATGTCTTTTGTTTGTGCTACAATTTCAGGCTCCCCGGGAAGTAGCTTCTAACCCTGAGCCCGAGAGAGATCCTCCGTTGTCCCCACAAACCAAAATGGCAAGTTGTACTTCATAATACTCTATCACCATTGTTTTTTCACACACTGGTAAAGGGACGAATCTTTGTCACATATATGGCAAACAAGTTGGATATCTGTCAGCTTGTTAGCGTTGATGACGCCTTGACCTAAGATACACAATTTAGGCAGGACATACTTTCAATACTACTTCAACTGCTCTTAGTCAGATGCTAATAAGAGTTTTTCAAAATGAAGAGTACAATTTGTGTTTTTTATAAAATAAGGTGTCCGAGCAGACAACCTTATTGTTTTTCATTGTCATAAGGTTTATGTCCTAAAAGTATCTGGGTCACATTTCACACTCAAACAAAATAAATATATATGTTATTTTAAGTGTGTTTATGTTCAATTTTTGATCCACAGTGTCATCATGAACTCACCAGTGCAGTTATTTCCGCTTTGGATAATTGTCATGATTGCAGAGGACCTGTCTCAAGCCTCAAATGGATTGGTTTTACGTGTAAATGTAAGTACCTGTCAAACAACACCGTTTTATTTTTTACTCTGAGATGATAAACATTTCGATAAAACAAACTTAATTTCAAATACTTAACTTAGATTCTAAATTACTTACTTTCTTCTTTGTTATATAGTGAAATCAGGGATGCAAACTTGTCACCTTTCGGCGAAATTCGCCGTTTTGATTCCAAAATAGGTCGTTTGTGTGATTCATGTAGATCTGCAATAAAAATATTTTTGGGGTATGGGGGGGGGTCTGGGACCCGGAGTAATCTGTGGCCGCGAGCTGTTATGTGCCATCATGACACGCATGGTGTTCTTTTTTTATATATTATAATGAAGCGCGAGCACAAGTCTTCCTGCCTGTCAGCTCTGCTCATGGATGTATAATAAGGCTCTGCTGCTCCGGGATGAGGGTCTAGCTTCAGCAGCTACATTACCTACGGTGCGTTCGTTAATATTAACTGTGCGGTCCAGAGTCACTGTGGCACAGACTGGACCGCTGGTTAGAACGGGGTGTTCAGAGCAGAGCTCCCTGTCGGAGCGGCAGAGCGTGATGTGCACTGAAAAGTGTTTCTGTCGCAATATTATTTAATGAATCGTTGAGATAGCTAACTAGCATACATTGTCACTATCTGCTAACGTTAGCTTTAGCCTTCGTTTTCAAATAGTTTCTTTCATAGCCTATAAACGGAGGTGGTATAAGTATCTTGTTCTTGAGTACAAGTAGAAGTACTCAGATCTTGTTCTTGAGTAAAAGTTGAAGTACTCAGGTCTTGTACTTGAGTACAAGTAGAAGTACTCAGATCTTGTTCTTGAGTAAAAGTAGAAGTACTCAGATCTTGTACTTGAGTAAAAGTAGAAGTACCAGAGTGTAGGAATACTCTGTTACAGTAAAAGTCCTGCATTCAAAATGTTCCTCAAGTAAAAGTAGAAAAGTATTATCATCAAAATATAGTTAAAGTAGCGACAGCAAAAGTAGTCATTGTGCAGATTGGTCCATTTCAGAATAATATATATGATATGTTTTATAATGATTGATCATGAAAGTGTTCTCAAAGCTGGTAAAGGTGCAGCTAGTTTGAATGACTTTGTATACTGCAGGGTAGCTTGTGAATTGACTCCAGGTGGAACTAAAGTCTGATTTAACACTTGATTATATTTCACATCATTCATCCACATCTGTAAAGTAACTAAAGGTATTAAATACATGTAGTGGAGGAAAAGTACACCATTTACCTCTGAACTGTAGTGAAGAAGAAGAACAAAGTAGCAAAACATTGAAATACTTAAATAAAGTACAAGTATCTCAAAATTGTACCCAAGTATAGTACTTGTTGAGTTTATGAACTTAGTTACTTTACACCACTGGCTATAAAGATAGAAAGACAGCCTTGCACAGGCATGAAAATACATTTTCAAAATGCTTAACAGTCCTGCCAAAATTATAAACTGACTGCTACACAATTAAAATAAATGCTTAAATATATTTCTATTAGATGTGACCCTTTGGCGTTTCTGTTATTATTAACTGCTGCTTTAGTTGTTCTGACTGCTAAAATCCTCTGTTATTCCTCATTTTAAAGCCGATATTCCGTGGGGTCGGGGGGCTCGGATCCTTGTCACCTTTTTCATACCTGATGAGTTTGCATCCCTGGAAATGCACAGTGATTAAGTGTTAAAATAATGCTCAAGAAATGTTACCAGTACATTTTTCTTGTGTAATTGTGTTTTTAGTATGTTCAACCTCATGGCACAAAACCTGCTTCATCAAGAACAACGAGTCACCGGTACGTAATGTGTTTATATAAATATCTGATTTCTTTGGATAATGAAAAAAATACAAACTTGGTGTTCCTTTATTTATTTTTTTTAAAGATGAAGGACATCTGCCTTTCCAGTAATGAAGGTTCCGTCAGTGATAAAGACTACATTCCTGAAACGGCGTCTAGCAGCGATGGATCCAGCGTCGATGAAGACTGCCCACCTGACTCTGAAGCAAATACTGATTGGGATCATCTCATTGCCACCATCAGGGATTCAAAGCCACCCCATTGTAAGACTGCACCAACTGTCTCTACAAAGAACTATGTTGAACACCAAGACACGGCTGCTACTACCTCTGACAAATTCCAACTTCATGAAGATTTCATCCCTGATATGGCATCCAGTTCTGAAACAATTGAGAGTATTGCAAATCCCAAAGACTCTTCTTGCACCCTCAAAAATTACTGTTATGTTTGCAGTAAACCTCAATCTAAGATTGCTCGTCACTTTAAGAAGCATGAGAAAGAACAACCTGAAATTGCTGAAGCATTTATGTTCCCTAAATACTCTAAAGAGAGAAAACGGTTACTAGAAAAGCTGCGAAACAAAGGTAATTACCAACATAACCAAGAGACAATGCAGAATCAAAGCGGACCACTGAAACTAAAACGAAGACCACGAAGATCAAATGTCTCACTGGATGCCAAAAAATATGTGCACTGTGTATATTGTAAAGGCATGTTTGTCCGCAAAGAACTTTGGCGCCACATGCGTAGATGTCCTTCAAAGACCGTCTCAGACACTGAAGCAACTGGTAGGGCCAAAGTCCTAGTTCTGGCTGATATTGCGGAGTCAACTTTCTCCTAAGCAATTTCTCCTGTTTTGTGGAAGATCCTTGGAAATATGAAGCAAGATGAAGTAACATCAGTTTCACGGAATGATTTCCTCATACTGCAACTGGCTCAGTCACTCTACAATAAACATGGTAATGATTCGACAAAATTTGAATATATCAGACAGAAAGTCCGTAAAATGGGCAGGCTCTTAATGAGCTTGAGAAGCAAATGTTCCTTATTCAGTTTTGAAGATGCTGTAAAACCAAACAACTTTTACAAAGTTATTGAGGCAGTCAGAGATGTCGCTGGTTACGATGAGGAGAAGCACTGCTACCACATACCAAGTCTGGCTCTGAAATTAGGACATTCACTCAAGAAGATTGGCAGTATTATTCTTTGTAGAGCCATTGCTGCAGAAGATGAATTGATGATCAAAGCATCAGAGCGTTTCACACAACTGTGCACTAAAGAATGGAATGAACTTATCTCCCACACTGCTCTTGCTACTTTGACCAAGTCGAAGTTTAACAAACCGTGTACAATACCTTTTACAAAGGATGTGCAGCTCCTCCACCAGTACCTGGAGAAGAAATCAGCTACTGCTATGGAGAACCTTCAAAAGAACGAGACTTCACAGAGTTATGCAGAACTAGCCAGAGTTACACTAGCTCAAATCATTATCTTCAACAGACGCCGTGCAGGAGAGGTCTCAAAAATGACACTTGAAGCATTCATGAAAAGAGACCAGACTGAGCTTCATGAGGACATTGCTGTTGGCCTCTCGCCATTCGAACAAAAGCTGGCCAAGCATTTCAGTAGGGTAGAAATAATGGGCAAAAGAGGAAGGAAAGTTGCCATCTTGTTAAACCCTGAAGTTGTCAGTGCCACAACACTCCTTGCTGACAAAAGAGACTTGTGTAATGTGCACAAGGACAACCCTTTCCTATTTGGAAGATCACAGTGCCCCTCCACCAGCTTCTACAGGGGACAGGACTGCATCAGGCTTTTTGCACGTCAGTGTGGTGCAAAAAATCCGGAGTATCTCACGTCTACACAACTTCGCAAGCATGTTGCAACATTGTCCCAGATTCTTAACCTTAAGAACAATGAGCTAGACCAACTAGCCAACTTCTTGGGCCATGACATACGGGTCCATCGAGACTTTTATCGACTGCCAGAGGCAACTATTGAGATTGCAAAAATCTCAAAGCTTCTACTGGCGATGGAGAAAGGATCTTTGGCTGCATATCAAGGAAAATCTCTTGACGAGATTGAGATTGAAGGTATGTGCTCAATTTATGTATTATTATTACTACTTATGATAATATTATTATTAAAATGATAATAATACAAAGCCTTTTCAATAGATATCTTCAAATACTTTTACAAAGTGCATTACAAAAACAATATTATTTCTACAACAACATTCAGAAAATATATAACTACACGAGGAAATTGACTAAAAGGACGGGAAATTAAAATTGGACAAATCAACTCAGGTAAATTATACATAAATATATTGATTTGTGTTTTTCAGATGAGTTGGAACCAGATCTGGAAGAAGTTCAAAGGGAAAACATTGATGGAGACGATGATGAAGATGATGGAGACATGGAACATGATGGAGACATGGAACATGATGGAGATGAGGAAAAAGATGGAGACAATGAAGAGCCAGATCCTGCACATGGAGTAAGGGGTATGTAACACAGATGTTCTTTTTCAGTATATGTGTGTAATGGTACAGATTTGGGAGAGTACCTTTTTTATAGGACAATATCTAGCAATTAAGGGCTGCCCACTGTAGAGCCATCTTGTTGCTTTATTGGCACCACAAAATCAGTGACATTTCTAGCACATCACTCTTCCGACATGAAAAAAGGTGTACAGTAATCACCTTAAAAAGGCACAACAGTTACCACAATTAGGTCTCCTGGAGTAGGTCATATGGTGTGGTAAAGTTTAAAATCTAATTGCAATCATATAAGCCAGGGTTACTTTTTACTTGTGGTCAAACAGAAAAAATCTTTGAAATTGTCCTCCATTAAATCTGTAGACTCAGTTACTATCTCTACCATCTAAAGCTTGCCTGTTTTCTAATTATTTTCACCAGAAATGCGAGGAATAAAGAGTCCTGATGAAGTGTCCTCCAACTCTCAAGGTAATGTGTGGAAGGGCCTTAGATTGTCTTTTTGTTATTTCACTGTGTTGGGGGCATACATATAGGTTACATATACTGTGTAGGTTGTGCCTATTTTGGTTGATGAAAAAACATGTTACCATTTCTGTTATGTTACTACTACAATGTTTCTTGGATAAAGAGACTAGTTTAATTACAGATTTTCCCCCTCCAGCTATCAATACAAATAATATTGTAGTATTTAGTATATGCTGTTGCATTAGCTAAATCTGTTTATTTTTCATGCTAAGAAACTTCAAATATGTGAATTGCCTTGTTGATATATATAGTATATTTCAAGATTGTTTTTTTATTAGGAAAAAGAAAAAATGCGGATTTGACTCAGCATGAAGCCTACCATTCCAAAGGTAATGTAAATGTGCATGGAACATTTTAATTATTGATTTCAAAGGAAAAAGAGGCATTGAATATTATTTTTGAAATGAGATTCAAGCACCATTTGCATTAGAAACATGTTTTGCAGTCTGGCAGCTCTAAATTCTAACATGACACATGCCATGGTGGCACAAATTTAAATGAATGAATGATAAACTGCAGCCTTCTCTGTCAGAGATGTTTGTTTTGTTTTTTTATATATATATATATAAATATAAAAAACAGGAATTATCATAAACCAAACAAGGCAAGAAATACAAATAGCTGAAAGAGGCCAGAGCACAAAAATCCAATCTGCTCGTATACAAATAACAGTGTGAATGGCCCAGGTTTTGGATGATTTGCCTGCAGTTGGAGCAAATGTTATTGTCTCGTCAGATTTGAAATGGTCAGACACCAAAATAAAGTTAAACTAGGTGAAGTTTAAGTTTTGCTTTTTTTCCTCGGAAAAAGATTAATCCAATCCAGGAAGAGGCCATGAGTTCAGAAGGTATATTGAGATGCCAGTAGGATACATTTTGACTGTAAACAATACGTTTTTTTAGCAACATTTTAAGAGTTTGTTCTCATTGATAATTGTAAACATGTACAAAAAAAAAAAAACTGATAGCACCATAGAGAAGAATAAGCTTATCTAAAAACTATTATTTTACATCAACATTGATTCTTTTTTTACAGGGTCCAGTTCAGTTACAGCTTTTGTTCTGTTTATATATTTTGAATAATATAAATTCAATTGGCTTTCAAAATTAAGTTCCCCACAAATAACTTTGAGTCTGTATAAGCTATTCTAATAAAAGCATTTCTGGTTTACTTTAGGAAAAACAAATCAGTTGGACACCCAGGGTGAGGTCACCAGCTCCAAAGGTAGGACTCCACATATTCATTACTTTATTTTCAAGGGGCTTATCCTTTAAGGGTGCAGTTACAACCCAAAAAGGATCCAATTTAATATACTACATGTAATATGTTTCTGGTTTCACCAATGATGTAAGTTATGTTGGTGTTTCTTCATTTAAAATCTGATCTGCTCTTGTCATTTTGACTAGCCACTTCTGATTAATTAAACCAATAATTAAAGCAGTGTAATGCTGTAAATTGATAAATGTCGCATTTATAGAGAAGAGTAAACATTTTTCACTAAACAACTCAAAATACACCTTTTTATTGCCACTTCAACCTCTTCTCATACCCACTGTACCTGGATAGCTAGTCAAGAGAACACGGTAGTAACCCCCCTCCTAATTAACAATGTACCCCATGTAATTTTTATATATTTTTTTTATATATATATATATATATATATATATATATATATATATATATATATATATATATATAGCAATTACAAAGATTGAAGTCCAATGTTTTTCTGTACCTAAAGGCATCAGAATCTGAGTATCAGATTCAATTTGGGTTTATAGCCGAGCAAATGTACACCTACAAATAATTTATAAACATTGAAAACAAGCTTGGTTAATACTACTCAAGTGTGTTGACCAAAATTAAACTTCTTTTGAGTTTCTTTCTTTTGAACACTGGAAAATGATTTTCTTTATTGTGTTTTTGAAAGTATACTGTTAACACCTTTTAAATGATTAGTATTAGGAATTTTGCAAAGTATATTTACAGAGCACTATACTTAGAATTCAGTTGGGGACATGATTTTGTCTGCATAAAGCTCTAGGTTTTTAATATATTTTAATTAAGGTACAACTAACAAACCCCATACATGTTTCTATTGAATGTATACGTGTTTAATCTAAATGTAATGGTTTTTTTCTACACATTATGAAAATGACATTCTTTTTCTCATGATTTGCAGCAGTCCACCAAGGAAGATCTGTGAAAAGACCATGGAGCAAAAATGAAGTTAATGCTGTATTGAAACACTTCAAAGCACACATTACAAAGGGGCGCCTCGCATCAAAGTTGGAGTGTGAGCAGTGCAAGCTTGCTGAAGACCCTATTTTGAGAGAAAGATCTGTTCAGAACATAA